ACGTGTGATATTTGACCAATAATATGCCAAAACCTGAACCTAAAACCCTAACCCTGACCCTAATCCTAAACTTATTAAACCTTAAAAATTCTATTTATTATTTATTATAGTATATTATTTATAAATCATAACAGTTTATTTTCTTTGACAAACTATTAGATCATCATTATTCTATATTAAAAATTTAAGATCTAATATCTACTTTAAAAAAAAGCATTGAGTCATATATATTAACGAATCAACTATATTTTTAAATAAAAAAATCAAAATCTTTATTTTATAATAGTATTATTATTTTTCACTTAATAAATATCAATCGCATAATAAGGTAATTCCTAATAAGAATGCAATTTGCATATTCCTTTTACCAAACCTACAGCCAAATTAACATGCATTTGATCATAAACTAACAAACTGAGAAAGAACGCTCACAAGAGGCACTATGTGAAGTTATAGCAAAAAGTTGAAGTGTCAAAGCTTGCAACTCCCATTCATCTTTTGTATTTTGAAAAGTCACTCACCAGATAATTGGTATATCTGATTTTATTATATTTGCATTTAAGTAAGTAGTTTTCCATATAAATTCACATAAGTTTTCAGATTTGTCCTGCTTTGAGAGTGATACTATGAAATTTTTTTTGGATTTAAATATAAAACTTTAAATTTAAATTAAATAATTAATGATTTCAACTTACCATGATAACAAAGAAAAGGTCAGAAAATTTATTAAAACGCTTATTAAATTTAATCACACAATGATTTTAAATTGGATATTTTGGTTTGATATATGATAAATTGCACTTGATAATGATAATAAATGAATTTAACAATCAGCAGCAAGAATTGAATAATTCAACAATTTTTATAAAAACTTCAGTCATAAAGTAATTATTTTATATAAAATGATAAATCAAATTAATTACCTATCCTCACAATTTGTGATGAATGCCTTATTCGCTTTTCACCTTTTTCTTGAGCATATTCAGTTCAAAATTTTTAATGATAAACTGCCAACACATTTATTATTTACTTTGTTTAAATGGCAGAATGCTTATGATGTTACCACTTTTTAATGACATATTTATCTACTAAAATGGATGATAAATACTGAAGTATGAACCATGAATATCATAAAGTTAAAAAAATCACTGCTAAGGTAAGAAGAAACTTTGTTTATTTTCAAAAAATATAGCAATAAAATAATTGCCAATAAATGATTGAGACCAATTGATATCTTTTAACTTGTTAACTTTTGTTACAAAAAGGGAAAAGGGAAATCATGTTAAGACATCCAAAATACGAGCGAAATTACTCATACGGTACCATAGTAATTTGGTCTCAGATTAAACATAAAAACAACTCCCGGCTGTTTTAATGTTATCAATATGGCTTTGTAAAAAAAATATGGGTAGGGTCATTGTTACGACTATTGTTGGGTCGATTAAATGTGTTCAGATAACTAATAGCGGATCTTTGTTTAATTTGAATATGTTTTCGCGTTTTTAAAATGGGTGGTAGAGAATCCAACATTTTAAACAAAGGTATCTGTAACATTTTATTTACTGTATATATCAAGCTTGTATGTAATATGTATGAAAAAGATCAACATCAAAGTATAATTAATCTTATAATGACAATATTGAAATATATATATATATATACCTTTTAAAATTTATCTTTATAGTTTATTTAATTAGTTAAGATATTTTTCACGTCCGGAGTTAAGTATTAGTTATCCCCTGATTAACATCATTACATTTCTATGAACTTATCAAATAGTCACTGTATCGCCTTTTATCAAAGAAATTACTTCGATCGCAGATTCGTTAAAGAATGACCAAACAACAAAGCTTTTGTGCCAATCACTTTTTAAGAGATGATCATCAAATAATATTATTTCGCGGCCAACCCTACTCGGGAATCGTAATAATTAATCATCTATTTAATGATATGTCCAATTTATCAATTAACGTCAACACCAACAACCTTCTTAATAACGTTATTATAAACAAAACCAATTCGAGATTTCAATTACTGTTTCAAATAATCACCATATCAAATTTATTCCCAACTTCTACAATCCTATTAAAAATTTTTCTTTAATAAAATTTGGAATAAAATAAAAATTTTAAAATTTCTGCCCTTCATCTTAAGAAAATTATGAGGGTAATTATCATAATGAACATTTGACAAGTCATAGGAAGGCTTGTTATTTCATCTTCCCTACATACATTCAAGTATCAATCAACGGGAATCCAAATTAGAGAAATTAGAGAAACGCGTTCACCTGTCAAGACTTCCGCCACTCCTTCAAATTATATCATCATTTGAAATTATTTTTGTATCGTATGCTCCACGTCGTAACTTAAATCTTTTATTAGACACCATCAGTTCGTTTTAATGTTCACATTTATTAGCAAGATTGACCTATTAAATATCAAATTGAGTTGCCCATGCAAAACGTTTTACGAAAGGTGATGTAATGATGGGATCGGTCCTTTTATTAGATTATTTATGTAAAAAGTGATAATTTACGTGGAAATTTCTATTACTCTTTTTTTCAAGATTACTACATGATTTTTTGTATTACATCACATCATTACGGACTAGTTCATTTCTGTTTCTAATATTAAAATAATTCCCGCGTAGTCTTCTTGTGAATTAATAAATATTCACATTCTTGACTTTTCCATTCCGGTTCATCAAACGCTAAATTTGGTTAAAGAATGTTATTCACTCTTAAATATCACACGCTTGCTTTTTCACGATAGCGATCTTTGCGATTTCATACATTTGTCATAAGCAGGATACATTGTTGAGATAATGTCAAACGTAATTAGTTAAAAAGTCAAGTGACAAAAAATTTCATTATGATGTAATCTGATTATTAAAAAAAAAGGTGTAAAAACGTCTTGAATTTCCTTTTTCTTCTCTTCTTTTTTTTTTTACCTTGTTATGAATTCAAATTTTTAGAGATGACCGAAAACTTAAAGATCGCAAAAGATGCCATCATTACAGGACATGGATCAACAGCTGCTGGAAGTGTTGGAACCGTTGCATCTGAAATCGAAGGTACTTTTTAATCTTGACTTTCCTTTTTTATGTCAAATTGTCGTTAAAATAACAAGAATTCTCTTGAAATTTATTTGATTTTTTTTTTTTTTTAAAAAAAAGATGATGTAATTAAAATAGAAGTTCTAGAAAAAGATTCGAGTGTTACAGGATCAAGTGTTTATCGTACAAATGAAGTTATGACTGAAGTTATAACTGAAGCTAGAACTGAAGTTATAGAAGATACACAACGACGAGAAAAACGTAAACCATCTTATTTGCGTGGAACAAAAGATGTTGTTATGGGATCAATTAAGGTATGATTTATTAAATCATCAATTATTATCTTTGAATTCATGATTTTCGCTTACATGAATATTATAGCAAGGTTTTGGTAAGGTTTTTGGCAATGATGAAATGGAAGGAACCGGTAAAAATCAAAAAGATTCCGGTAAAGAAGAAGTTCGTAAATTTAAATCTAAAAAATCAAGTTATTTCTGTTGTTTACCACAAGAACGGCAAAAAATGATAAACCCATGTGAAAGAAGAACGATTAGGCGTTAATGGAGGATTTATAATGAGATTAGTTTAGGTTTTGCTTATATAATGAATTTTAGAACTATTTTAATATAATTTTTTAATTTGCTTTTTACCTTTGATATCATAGAATGATTTCTTTTGCATTAATAGATGAAAATAATGAACCAATTTCCTCAAAAACGATGAATGTTTACACAAGCATTACTCAATGATATCATCCTTGCATAATAATGTAATACAAATATGAGTGCATGGATTTCTACATCTTAGAATTCGGAATCACATTAAACGCATAGCAAGATTTAAAAATTTAATACATTAATTTATTGTTTATGAGTGACAAGATAGCAAATAAACTTTCCTTTGGAGTTAGTGTAACATTGAAACTTCAATTCGGAAATTGTGAATTTTTTCGTATTTAGCTTCAAAAATATTTGTCACATAGTATCACACCCCTCCAGTTTCCGTTTTTACTATTTATTCAGGGACATTTTTTTGAGTAGCGAAATCTTATTTGTCACGTACATATTTGTCACAGTTATAATAAGTTTAGGATTAGGGTCAGGGTTAGGGTTTTAGGTTCAGGTTTTGGCATATTATTGGTCAAATATCACACGT